TCCCTCTCATATACTAACCCCTTTCTCAGACAAAAAGGGGGAAAATTCTCCTGCTGCCAAAGCTGAGGATCGTTCATAGATGCCAATAGTGGAAGTGGTCGTGGGCTTGTGTTCGCCTGTGTTCATAGAGGTCACTTCTGCAGGTCTGGCTCTTGCTGTCGTTAGGAAAAAGGTATTTTGTTTGCTTATTGCTAGTGTTCTGCAACTTTATTCATGTACAATAATATTGCCTATATGTTGTGCTATTAAATTTTCATACTCAAACTTGAGTCTGATTAAAAACACATAATGTTAAAAAAATAGTTAGTCTAGAAGACAGTTATGATAGAGACAGTCAAACCAAAAGTGAGAAGAGCAACTGAAAACTGGAGTTGTCATTAAGGACGTAACTATAATTAAAGATTCACATAACTACCCTGCCTGGCTGTAACTTGCCCCACATTTTCAGAGGGGCTACCAAGTACTGTCTTCCAGTTGGGTTTAAAACTAACATTATTGAAAAGAATTACAATTTAGACATGTGGGGAAACTGAGGCCTGTAGGAAGTTGAGGCTGGTGAAGAGTTGCCCAGCTGCTACTCAGCAGAGGACGTTCTTGCTTGATTGTTTTGTCTGTTGCTATTATAAAACACATCTTTTGGCCTTTCTTTGCTTTCCACTGTACCTGTTTGAAAAAGAGCGAAGCACTAGTCTGCATTGCTGAAGTGTGTGTGCTGGTCACCAAAGTTTGCAAATGTTCTAAATGTGTAGTTTTTTTTTAATCTCATTGATGATCTGTAGATTTTAACTTGGTTTTGGGAAATTTGTAACTGAAAATTTCAAAGCAGTGTCTTCTGATGTTTGAAGTTTAAGGAAAAAAAAACCAAACAAAATGTGAAATTTTATTGAAAGCATGAGCAGCACACCAAGCCAAAAATGGGAATTGTTTTTTCTCCTTGCCTGCATCTCTCTGTTAAAGTTGAGTTTCTCATAAATAAATGATCTAAGATGCTTTTTGAGAAAGTTACAATGGGTGAGCAGGTGTAAATCATTCACTTTTCCTCTTGCTGCCTCAAACATTGTGCTGGAAGCCTTTCCTTCAATATTGATCTGTTTCTGTTCAATCCTTACCTTTGTTCAGGTTGTTTCCTGTCTTACCCATGTAGTTAAATATAATTCTTTGTTAATTAAAGTAGTTTTTAAGGCAGAGATATTAACTGTTTTCATGCTAGTGACACTTGACCTTTCCAGTCATGATAGTCACATAAGTAAACTCTTCATTTTCAGAACAGATGAGGAGTAAGTTTATTTTTTAAGTCTATTCGGCCTCATTTTATAATCAATTTCTCAAGTTTGACATCTATTTTTAACTGGCTCAAAAGATGGTCCTTGCTCTGGCATGGAGCTCCTCCTTCCCAAATCATGTCTTCTGCTAACTGTTTGGACATCTGGACAGAGGCACCATGTGCTCCTCTGAATTATTTCTTTTTTGGTGAAATGATTTGGAGTGGTGCAGGGCAGTTCCTGGCCTCCTCCTACGCAGGTCACACCCCTGCTGCCACAACCCTGAAGTTTATGCCCAATGTGACTGTCTCTGCAGTTTGAGACACCTTGTTTTGATGGTGCTGACAAGTCTGGCTGTACCCCTCTAAGGGGTTTGAATGTCTGCCCTGTTCTTCTCAATCACAGCCTTTGATGTCTAGCACTGAAAGAGTCTGAATCTCAAGTATTTTGAGATGCTGGACATTAATATGTAAGAAATAATCTTGCATATATTACAGATTCTGACCCTGGTTGCTTTATTTTTCGCAGACCAACCATCATTATACTCCAGTACACCAGTGCTGGCCTTGGAGTTGCTTTCACAGCCAGGTCCTGATGTTTGATATGTACTTGGGGGAAAAAAAGAAAGAAAGGGAATCATGTGTGGTCTACAGGGAAAATATCCAGGTAAACTCTGAAGAGCTGAATGGAATGAAGCTAGAAATGAAATATATATTCCCTAACAGTTTTGATGTTCATTAGGGTTAAATTTAATCTATTAGTGCCATTGTCATCGGCCTCAAGTTGTGCCAAGGGAGGTTCAGATTGGATGTCAGGAAAAATTTCTTCATTGAAAGGGTAGTCAAGCATTGGAAGGGGCTGTCCAGGAGTGTGGTGGAGTCCCCATCCCTGAAGGTATTTAAAAGACGGGCAGACGAGGTGCTCAGAGATATGGTTCAGTAGTGGACAGGTACAGTTTGACTTGATGATCTCAAAGGTCTTTTCCTACCAAGTGATTCTATGAGTCTATGATTTTGGGGCTACCTCTGTCCCTGACACTCACTAACATACACTTAGGTGTAAGATAGGAGGCAATTTGTTTAAAAAACCCAGTGAGAGCTCTAATTCCAGCAGAATCATACAGTCAAGCTGAGTACACCTCAACAACTGGGTTCTGGGTGACTGGGTTCCTACACTTGTGCCAGTTTTGGCACTCGGGGACTCTCCATGATCTAATTCCAGATGTTAACGGGGAAGGGGAAGCATTGAGGGGGGGCGGGTAAGGGAGAAGGAAGAATTTCCCTTTCGGGCAGCAATGTGCCTTGTGCAACTAGCTCAGCTGCACGTGAAGCTGTGTCCCAGTTATACGGGATTGCCATGTTTAACACCAGTTTCATTCCAGTTTCCTCCACGAGCTGTTTTGTGGATTCTTCCTTTTCCCTTGTAATGTGTCAGTTATGTGTCTCTTCCATATAAGGTTTATGAAATACACTAAACTAATCCCAGTTAGAAGTTTGATGATGGGAGAAGGAAGTTTTGCATCTTACTGTTCAGTCCTTCACGGACTTACTTCCTTGTCATCAATAGCAAGTCCTGCTGCTGTGATTCCATTGAAAATAAATAAAAAATTTACAGAAATTAGCCATTTCAAAGGTCTAAATAGTACAGAAGTGTGTTTTGGTGTGTGTTGGGGGAGTGTTAAAGTATTTGGGGTTTATTTGTGTTTTTCCAGCTTACTGGATCTTGTTCTCAGTGTAAGAATGACCTCTTACATATGAATCATTTTTTTTTTTTTTTAAGCAGAATGGAAAAAAAAAGCACGACTAAAAAGTCAATCATTAGTTCAAACCCAACTTTAACTGCAAAATATACCAAAACCTACAACCTAGTTTGACAGGCTCTTACATATGAATCACCCGAGGTAAGGCCAGTCCAACAGCCTTACCCAAGGTGGGGTACTGCAAGCCCTCAGGTCCCAAAGATGATCACATTCCTCACTGTGTACATGGCATAATATTCCTCACCAAGAGCCTCTTTGTTCTGTCCTTTTGGATTTTTCTTGTTTGAGGGTAGAATTCGGCCACCACTGAGTGCATTTTGGTTGCACCAGCACTCTGTTTCCGTTGCTATGATCTGGGAACTTGGTAGCAGGCTTTGAGCGGTTTACTGGTGTTTTGTGAAGCAGGAGTCCATACTTGGGCTGTCTGAGCTGGTGTAACGGTTCACTGCTGCTCAAAAGGCTGAGCTCACCTTCTGCCTTCAGCTAGCTCTACTGGTTTATTGGTCCCCTTTGTGAATAAGTTCAGCTCATCCAACTGCCAGGAAAAACAAAACAAGTACAAAAAACCCCCCAAACCCAACTACTTTGCTGGGCTTGGTTGCTTCCCTGAGAGCCAGAGCTGTTGTGGGGATGAGAGGTACGGAGAGGGGCGAGACAGGGAACAGATCTACCTGTTTTCATCGTAACAAGCTTTTAAATTGTCTTGGACCTCTAAAGAAACCTCTGCTTTCTGTGGTATTCACTTTGGTTGATATGTATTGTTAATGTCGAGGTGCTCTGCAATGCTCCATCCCTCTGACAGTGCTGGCAGCAAGCCAGCCACATGCTACACTGTGATGTAAACCAACAGAAAGTAGTAAAATGTTCCTTTTCTACTGGTGCAATTTCTACAAGTAGCAAAGGGATCAAAAACACCTGGCGTGCTTTTTCTTGAGGCTGTTTCTCTTCTGACTTTGGAGAATTGACAGCAAGAGTGTCCCGATAGCAAGGGCTGCCCTGTAATGAGCTCCCTTGACAGCAGCAGCCACACTGTTTCTTGGCCACCTCAGGTCCTGCTGTTAGAAGATTACTAAACTCCTATTTTTAGTTGTAAAAAGACATCTGTAGTTTAGCCTTGAGTAAATACCAAGGGGTCCATTGTCTTTAGCCTGTGCAAGTCCAGTAACTTTGTGTAAACTCTGCAGGCCTTACTAACACTGTGCCCTTGAAAAAGAGCTAAAAGGCTGAGAAAAGGAGAACATCCTGTCCTAAAAGGCACAAAAATCTGGAAAATTGCCCAAGAAGGATGAAGTCAGCAAGCATCTGCAGAAACTGGGGTAAAAGGTAAATGCAGCCGGGGGAAATCACAACCACTGACTCAAGTAGAGACTGAACAGACTTAACCCCCCCATATTACAGCATGTGCTGTGCAATTTTTTTATGTGTTGTACTCTTAAAAAGGTAAGTG